CAAGCTAAAAAAAACCACACAACAAATTAAACAAAACAAACATAAATAATAAAGAATAATCAAACAGTATAAAACATGAAACAACAATTACAAATTCAATTAAATTTCATCTCCAAACAAAACGTAGAAGTTGCTGCGCTTTCTGTTCCCATTTCATTCGTTCCATCCATAATTTATCTCGAAAACATATCCAAAATCCCCAAAACTTTTTTCCAAAAACTCTTTTCGTCTTTAATGTTGCAACTTATTGTCTAAGAAATGAAAAACGAAACCAAAAAGCAAGCAAAAACTATCGATAGCATTTCAGTGTTGGTCAACACAGCAAATATTATGAATACAACGCCTAAAAAACAGCTTCCCAATCGATGTTGTTGTTTTGATTCTTTTTCTTTTTTACACACACACACACACACGAAGCCACTTGCATACACACACACACACACACACACACAGATACAGACACTGTAATTTTCTTCTTCCTTTTTGAATATTTCTACTAACATTTGTTGCATTTATGATTTGATGTGAAGATCAGTTGAAAATTCCGTTTTATTGTCACACTGTAACTTCTGACTGTGTCTGTTTGTTCCAAATTGGTATTTTCCAAGCTAACTCTACATAAGTGTATTCCATTCCAATATTCCAAATATTCTTTCTTTTGCCTACTCTCTCTCTCTCTCTCTTTCTGTCACTCTCTGTCAATCTCTCTCTCTCTCTCTGTCTATGTTTAACTGTGTCTGTGTATGTGTCTGCTTGCTTGATCGCATCTCTGTCCGTGTGTGTGTGTGTGTGTCTGTGTTTTGCCCCCCAAAGAGAACGCCAGCGAGAGAGCAGCAGCACTCGAACGTAACGGTAAAGTGAAAAGGAGAGAGAAACACACGCACATTGGCTCCAGATAGCGCACAATTGAAACAAAATTCCAAAGAAAAGAAATATATATATCAAAAATCACAGAAAACTTAAAACAAAATTTAAACCAAAATTGAAAATTACCTTACAGCATACAAAGAAACCCCCCCCCCCCCCGCACCATGCGTCCCCCCACTTGCCATTTTCACCTTTAAAAAAAAAGAAAAATAAGAAAAAAGAAGAGAACTGGAATTTGCTCATATAAACAAATATTGTAAGATTATAATAAAACAAAAAACAAATATAAATGTATACAAATATATTTATATGTACCAAAAAGTATAGCTAAAAAAGAAAAATCTGTTGCAACATTGAAGTACTACAACGAAAGTTTCCCACCCGCCCCACGCCACACATCAATGAAAGAAAATAATGACATGATTTATGATGAGAAATTGTATTATAAAACGATCGAAAAAAACAAAAACCAACAAATGCTAGAATTGTATATGATAAGATCACAAAAACAAAAATAAAACCAAACCAGAACCAAATTGTTGATGCCACAAAATGACACGAATACAGAAAGTTGATTTTACCTTGATTTTACATTTAGTTACTTTTATGATTTTTATTCCAACAACAACAACAACAACAAAAACCGTTGAAACACTGTTAATTGATTGATTGACTGATTGATTGGCTTTTTGATGCAAAAGTACAATTAATTTGTAGCTGAATTGTTTATACTTTAGAGCTATAATGTCCCGCAGAAGCAAGCGAATATCCGATGCCGCGCCCCTAGCTTTAAGACCAAGCCAGCCTTGATTTCATTTTGAGTTTTATACTTTTTACAGTTTTACAAATAGATTGCCAAAAACCCAAAAACCACACAACACAAATAATAGCATTAAGATTATTGATTTGTTTCCAACTCCTTTGCTCCTTGCCTTCTTCCACCCTCCACCTTCCACCTTGCCAGCGAGCGATCTTGTAAATTATGATTTCCACAGCCGCAGCCGCAGCCGCAGCCTCAACAACACTCTCCCGCCACCACCAGTCATTGTCAATGCCGTTCACTTGAGTTCAATTGAGTTTTAAGTTTCTTTACGTTGTTAACGTTATGTTCTGCCCTCTGCCGTACACTACACTCTACGCCCCGCCCCGAACACACGCAAAAGTTTGTGCCCAAAATTGAAAGAAAAACTTCATCCCCAAAGAACCAACTCTAGTAGCTGTCTGTTGTTCCATTCGTTTTGCATAATCCACACACAAACCACACACACACACAGAGAGACAAGTCCCTATACTATATATAATATATATATTTAATAGTATAGCCACAAACAATACATAAGAATACATAACATCAATTATATACCCAAGTTTCTTTGCGTACTTCCTACTCTGGCTACCTAGTTGAACCTTAGTTGACACACACCCCACACACATTGGCCTTTGGGCCCACTGTGCGCATGGAATGCAAGGGAATCGCGAGAGCCCACAGATCCACAGATCCACTGTTTCCCCCATCCCCGTCTCCCACCCCCACAGTGATGACGCCTAATATGAAACAAGCAAAACATTTGCAGGTCGCGTTAAGTGTTTTAACAATCCGCGATCACAGCTCGAACATGAACAGCAGCAGCAGCAGCAGCAGCAGCAGCAACAGGAGGAGGAGGAGCAAACCATCGACGAGTTGGATGTCGATCGGGACATGGGCATTGAAGAGGAGCACGAACAGCTCGAAACGGAGGATGCAGCAGCAGCAGCAGCTGCTGCCTATCATGCCACGCCGCCGAAGTACCGCCGAGCCGTGGTCTATGCGCCGCCGCCGCCAGACGAGGAAGGACCCTGCTCTGGTTCTGGTTCTGGTTCCGGCTCAGAGATCTATGTGGACAGCAACTACAACAATTGCGAGTACAAGTGCAAGGAGCTGAACATGCGCGCCATACGCTGCAACCGGCAGCAGCATCACCTGGCGGCCCACTATGCCCATCCCCATCCCCATGCCCATGCCCAAGGCCATCCGTCGCTTCATCGCTCGCTGGTGGATTGTCCCGCAGAGGCGGCCTATTCGCCGCCCGCCACCAGCAGCAGCAGCCACAGCAGCGGCTACCGCGATCAGGGGGGATACGGCACGAGCAATGGAACCGGACAGCAGCAGTTGGACTTGTCCAGTCATGGCTACCATGGACACCATCATGGGCCCGCGCTGCCGCTGCCGCTGCCACCGCCGCCCAGCCACACCCAAGCCTCGCCGCACTATCAGCCAGCCACATCCGCCTCGTCATCCGTGTCTGTGACCGCATCCGCATCCGCATCCGCACCAGCCTCAGTCTCCGGCCCAGTGTCCCCACAGCCCAGCTCCAGCTCGAGCGGATCGAGCTCCTCGGCAGCAGCAGCCGCAGCCGCATCCGCAGCCGCCGCAGCAGCGGCCAATCGGAGGGATCACAACATCGACTACTCCACGCTGTTTGTGCAGCTGTCGGGGACACTGCCCACGCTGTATCGGTGCGTGAGTTGCAACAAGATCGTCTCGAATCGGTGGCATCACGCGAACATCCATCGACCCCAGAGCCACGAGTGCCCCGTCTGCGGGCAGAAATTCACGCGCAGGGACAACATGAAGGCGCACTGCAAGATCAAGCATGCGGACATTAAGGATCGTTTCTTCAGCCACTATGTACATATGTGATCACTTCTCTAGGCCCCCTAGACAGTCTCAAGCTCCAAATCGAAATCGAACTTTATCCTTTCCCCCTGTCTCTCTCTCTCTCTCTCTCTCTGGCTCTTATTAGGCGAATCTTTACGGCGGAAGCAGAAGAGTGAAACAAATCAAAAAAGGTTTTCAGAACTATCCAAATAATCAAGTCAAGAAACGAATACGTAATATATGAATATAAATATAGGACGATTGTACATCTTATTAATCTAAACGCTAATCGTAGTTGATTTCAAGACTTTGAACTACTTATTGTTAACTCGTATGAACCTTTAGACGCTTTTCTAGATCATTAAACAGAAACAAACAAAAGAAAAAAGATAGAAACCAAGAACTATAAAAGATAAAAGATATTACGGATATATCGGAATATCAAGTTAATGTATACCGAGACCAGTACTCAATGGAGGGAAACTTTGACAAGTATTATATGTAGAATTCCAATCGATTTCCAAGTCAGTTATTATTTTAGCTCTTTAGTTCGACTCTCTAACATGTGCTGTAGTGAATGTTGACTAATGTTTTGTTCGTGTCATTTTGTGCCATATTTAGCTAATCTTTCTTCTAGTCCATAGGCCATAACGTCCAACAAAAGTAGGCGCAATAAATGCGTCAAATATACATATATTAAAAGCAATTACTATTAATTAACTAAATCAAATGCAACGCAAGCAACGACGAGACTTGAATCCAAAAAGCAATAGCTGTCAGGCAGAACTATTTTTGAGAATCAATCCTTCTCGTACACACACGCCCCCCACCCTCCCAAAGTCACACAAGTATCTCTTGCTGATCAAATTGTTGTGCAAATAAATGTATTATCCCAAAATAAAATTCGGACAGCGCCCGATTCCAAGCCGTTTTGGCCAGAGCCCGCCAACGATGCAGGGTCACATCGGTGCACTTGAAATTGGACGCTCTCCGCTCCCCGCTCCCCGCTCTCCCGTAACCTTGTCCGTTTTCGTATCTTTGGCAAAACACCCACCGATTTTGATGAGAGTTGCAAACAGATGAAATATCATTAATTTATCGAATACTTATCGAGAAGAAGTTCACAGTGCTTTGCTAAAGAATCAAATCAAAGAACAAACTCGGAGCGAAATGTACTTAAAGCATTAGCCATGGAAGCCAATCAAGCAATAAATCCAATTATTACAACAATTCTAAAAATATACACAAATACAAAAAATATGACAAGGCTAAATCAATCTTTAACATCTTAAACTTTACTTAATAAATCTCTTTCAAATCAAATTCCAGTTCTTTTCATTCAAAAAAAAAAAAAAACAAAAGAAAAAAATAAAAAAGAAAGCCCCCATCCCTAGGTACTAAAACTAAACCACACAAAAATTGAAAACAAATTTAAAACCCACAACAAAACAGATGAAAAACAAACCCCCCAATTGAATATAAAACAAAAAACATTGAAATTAAACTTCCAATAATAATAATGACAATTTAAACATCAAGCGCACTGTCGTCTGAACGGTAAGTTGAAATTTCTAAGCTCTTCTTAAGCACAACAAATCCTCCCCCTATAATTTAGTCATACAAACAAAACATACGTTACGTAATCTAAGTTAAATTTATGTATTTTTAATTATTTTTATTTTTTAAAACCGAAAAGCTACAAATTTAAACAAAAAGAATGAAGAAAAAAAAAAACAGGAATTGGCCAAAACGATTGAAAATTTTATTTAATTTTTTATTTAATTTTTTTAAAAATGGAAACACTTGCTCACTTGCACTCACTCACTCACTCGATAAACCTGTCTCTCTCCTTCTCTAGCTATATTTACTTCTCTCTCTCTCTCTCTCTCTCACACACACTATAAGAAACAAATCTCTGTCTGTCTCTCGATCTCGCTCTATGTTTAACAGTCTATCTCGCTCCGTTCTGGGAGCGATGTTCAATATTTGTGTTCGTTCTGTCAGGCAGGAGGGGTGTTGAATGAAATGTGTTCGATAAACGATATGCAGACTATCGATTAACACTCGAGCTTCGATGTCTTTGCCTATCGATGTTGCTGCGCTAGGTTTTTGCGTTGTTCATCCAGAATCAGAATCATTTTTACTTGTATTTGATTTTGGTTTGGTCTCATTATTATTATGTTTTTTTTTCAATATCTCATTCACGATTTGTTTGCCCTGTCCCTGGTCTTTCTCTGCCTCTCTCTCTCTCTCTCTCTCTCTCTCTACATTCCACAACACCAAACATCAAATCAAACACCACCAACCCGGAACCCCCCGTTGAGTGGCAGAAACTAATACGGTTCTTGGTCTCTCTTGACAAGGAAATTAACAAAGAATCTAAAAAGAAATCCAAATCGAATCGAAAACCCACCCACATAATCATCAATTAAACAACTTAAATACATAAAATATTATTTATAGATTCTAGTTGTGTGTGTCCAACACAAAATCATTGCATATACACACTCATATATATAATTTGGTTTGGTCCTCCCCACGTTGAACCCGTAACTCTTATCGATTATTGTAAATAATTCTGCCAGCCAGATATGTGAATACATGTTAAGCAACAACTGGCAGAGAAGTGTCATTTGATCATTATTCTATAATATGCATACTTACGTTTCTTCCTACCCTCCGCTCGAGTGCTGTCAACATTTCTCATGTTCTCAAAATTCACCGAAAAACTAAGAAACAAAAGAAAGAAAAACAAATTTAAAGCAAAAAATTTCCCTATATATCGACATTTTTTGGGTGTAACGAATTTGATTGCGAACAATTTATGAATTCTTTGATTGAACAATCCACCGAGAGAATGGCTGCTCCCCACGATTTAAACAATTCTTGGCTTAATTTTTAAAAATCAATCCTCCACTCCCAAAACATTCCCTCCCATCAGCCATCGTCTACTGTCTTCAGGGATATTCAAATTGATTTTAATAACACTTTTGTTTAAGTTTAATCATTCCTTCCATGGCGAAAAAAAGAATAAAAAAATACGAATCTAATACCAGAAAATACCAGAAATACCACACACACACACACACAAACACACACCACACACACACACAGACTATGAAACCATCTAATTATACAGTTTAAGAATTATTATAAAAATGATTTTTCTGTTTCTGTGAATCACCAACAACAACATTGTTTTTCTCTTCTTTTTTTCTTTGCGCGTTTGAACGAACAAACCAAAAAATATAAAAATATAAATTAAAATAAATACCGAAAAATACTGAAAACAAATGCAAAATACCAAAATCGTATAAAATTCCAAACTCTGAACAAAAATACCGCCAAACAAAAAAAGGCTCAAAGGCCTGGCACATGCGGCTCACGTTCGAACGCCTCTCGGGCGGCTGCAACCTGCACCGTTGCAAGCTGTGCGGCAAGGTCGTCACGCACATCCGCAACCACTACCACGTCCACTTCCCCGGCCGCTTCGAGTGCCCGCTGTGCCGGGCAACCTACACGCGCAGCGACAACCTGCGCACCCACTGCAAGTTCAAGCATCCCATGTACAACCCGGACACGCGCAAGTTCGACAATCTGCTGTCGGGCTCCTCGGTGGGGGCACCGGCCACGCCCACCGCCTGTCATCTGGCCGTCGCCTCACAGGCTGCCATGGCAGCGGCGGCCGCAGCGGCCTTCAATGCAGCGCAGCAGCAGCAGCAGCAACAACAGCAGCAGCAGCAGCAATCGCAGTCGCAGTCCCAACAGCAGCAGCAACAACAGCAACAATCGCCGCATCAGCAACTGCAGCAACATGCCCACGCACTGGCGCAGCAGCACATGTTGCATCAACAATTGCAGCCGCAGCACCAGCAGCAGCAGCAGCACAACGCGACAAGTGAATGATATAGTCAGTACCTTGGCTGGAACTATGGCGCCTGGCGCCTCGATGACACGTCCATGAAGCAACAGCAACAGCCACAGCCGCCGCCGCACTTTGCCACAAACAGCAGCTATGAGCAACAGCCACATGTGCAACATCAGCGCAAGGCTCAGCCCTTTAACTTTTATGCACGCGACTACTACTTCCAGCAACATCAGCAGCAGCAGCAGCAGCAGCAGCAACATCATCAGCTGCAGCAGTCACCACAAACAACTCTAAGCAATGGCAGCATGAGGCAGCAACATCAACAGCAACATGTAGAGGAACAGCCGCAGACGATCATCATCGAGGAGAGCGACGACAATGAGGTGGACGAGGAGCAGCGTAGTATTGCCAACTGCATGCGGCAGAATTTCAATCAGTATATGGCCCAGATGAAGCAGTTTGCACCCGAACCTCCTAATCCTCATGAGGCCATTGAGGCATTGTGCAATAGCAGCAGCAGAAACAGCAATAGCAACAACGCAACAAATGCCAATCAAACGGAAGCTACTACAACTACTACTAATAGTAACGATAATTCTAATAATAATAATAATAATAATCAGAGTTATGCTAACAATACTAGGAACAACAACAACAACAACAACAACAGCAAAAGGCAGCCGGCACCGTGAATGCAGAAAAACACAGCAGCAACATAGCAACATAAACACAGCAACATAGCAACATAAACACAGCAACACAGCAACCAATTGATACTCAAAATACATAAGAAAAATCAAAAAGAATTCTAACTGAATGAATTGTTGACCATGCAAAATAAAATGTTGAATGGTAAGCCAAAATTATTTGTCAATTATGTAAGAGGAAGGAGGAATATGGAAAAGGAAAGGAAAAAGGAATCTAAAGCTGATCTGTGCAGAAGGCGACGACACATTATCATGGTTTCAACTAGACACGGAGACAACAAAAAAAAACCCACACACACAACACCCACAACAAAAGAAAGCCAACCCTAAATGTCGCAAATACTCTTCGAGTATCGTAAGAGTATCGAGTAATTTATGCATAAAACCAATTGTAATTGTAACGTCTTGTTCGTGGTGGCAAGCAAAAGGGTTTCCAAAGGTAAAGCCAAGGCGGTAGGGAGGGGTTGAGAACAAAAAAACAAAAAACAAACAAAAACATTTTTATTCGATGCACTCAAATATTAAACTCTAAACTTAAACTTAAATGTACTTCAAGATCTACTCATAGAACTTTACGAATTACTGACTGTAAATTGTTGGACCTGTCAGGACAGACTTTTGTGCCAAAAAAAAAAAAAAAAAAAAACAATTATCTTTTGGTGTTAGTGCCAACTCCTTTTTGGCTGCACTCTCTACGCACCTGTTTGTTGTTGCATTTAACACTGATATGTGCACCTGCCCCATACCTGCACATACACTAGACACCCACCAGGGAAGTGGCTCCGGGAGGAGTTTTGAGTAGGAGCCAAGCATTGCCGAACATTGAAGACATTTTACATACTCGTACAAGAGATTTCTGTGCTGCTTAACATCTAATTGTTTTTTAATAAATATATCTAGTGGATCTACGATCTAGTGGATGTCGTTTCGATGTGTTACACTTAGCCAATACACACACACACACACACACACATTAAGAGAACTGTAAAATAGAATGAAACGGATATGGAAATGGAATGAGAATCGATATTTAGCTGCAACAAAAATCAAATTTATCTGTACAAATCTGTGCGTTTGTTTCGAGTTAGTTGACTTTGAAGACACCTAATCTTAGGCAAGCAGTTTTAAAGCTAAACTAATTCATTGATTATAAATGCTAAACTAATGTTAATTTATTTATAACAACTAACCATTCTGCGAGTCTCGAGCTGTGGCGCCAGAGCTGATCGATCCCAAGACGGTTGTATTATACGGAGTAGTTAGCGATGATAACGATGATGATGGTGGTTCAGATACACAGCTACAGTCTCTACATACAATCTACAGACAGACATACAGACATACAGCATTTCTGTTTTGCAGACTCTTTTCTTTTCACCGTGTAAATATATGATTGATGATTCTCCCACGATTTCTGCTAGTTAATGTGTAATTACTATTTTTTTTGTAATTTGTTGTTGTACATCGATTGCCAAATCCCCCGATATTGGTGCGCGCACACACACAATCACACACACACCCACACACACACATACAAAAAAAAAACAAACATCTAATTGCCTAAAGAATTAATGCATAAAACTATGAAAAAAAAAAATATATATATACACACATATTCATAATATTTATTTGTTCTACTTCTTAACATGAAATGTTTAGTAATTATATTATTATTATTATTATTATAATTATTAATAATGCTACATCAAATACTGCCCCCGACTTAATGTTTGTTTAATGTTTATTTTTAACGCTGTTATGTTAAACGACAACAAAAATTTAAGAAATTTATCTATATATGATGTGATAACTATAGTAAAACTAAACATACGCACACCCACAAACAAAACACACACAAAACACACACACACACACACATTACAAATTGAAATTATGTTAATTAAGCAGGAGAGGAAGTTGAGAGAAGTTTTTTTAAAAAACGTTCGTTAAGTAATCATAAAATCATAATCTTTAATTCGTGTGGTATGCAAAATGGTGCTAAATCCAAATATACTTTAAAGCGACGAGTAGAGGCGGAACGACGAGAAAGGAACGATAAAGTATACCCCAAGAAAGGAAGCGTGTAATAGTAGCGAGTAGTAGGGAAGGGAGCAAGTAGGAGAGCAGCCAGAGAGCTCTCTCCGAATCGTATCGTATGTGCAATATGACTAGTTTTCGTTTAAGGAAAGGTGCAAGGAATAGCAGAAAACGCAAACGCAAAACCATTTGAATTATGACAAACAATTCTAAAAAACAAACACAACAAATAAGAGATTTAATTGTAAATAAATGTAAAGCGGTAAGCGGCGCCCACGCCATGCATTCAAAATGCATACAAATTGGAGAATGCAGGGTGTAGATGCCGCTTAAACACTAAATAAATGTTAGCATATCACCATGAATATGATTATAAATAAATATACAAACGATATAGTGGAAAACCAGTGGCAGGAGAGCAGCTAGTTAATTGAGAACTTTTTCGCGTACAGTTTCTGTGTCTATTTACAATAAATGTCATAAAGCCTAAAGCCTATCAAATTATCAGCAAAACACACACACACACATCCAATCAAAACTCGCACACACACAAACATTAGCATATTTATTTTGGTGCCCCTGAAACATTTTGAATCCTCTCTTTCAATGATTTTCTGTTGTTTGAATTTCGATTTAGAAGTTGACTTTGATTTCGTTGAAACAATTTTTAACAGCATTTTGCAGTCGATGAAGAGTTGTTCGAACCATTAATTTTAATGACGTGCTAGTTTCAATGTAAAACCTAGTTTAATCTAATTTTTGTATTAATAAATGCAATACAAACTATTTTTAGTTTTATTTATATACAACAAGAAAAGCAGCAGCAGCCGCAGCCGCCGCCGCAGCAACAAAATAAAAACAAAGCAAAAATGCAGAAAAAAAAAAACACATAAATGAAATCAGATTAATTAACGTTAAGCAAATTGAAGCAAGTCCAGAGAATGCTTGCAGCATTTGTTACAATTTATACATAAATATATATTACAATATTTTTTAAAACGATTTTTAATAAACATTCTATCCATTATGGCAGCCTTTCAATGAAACAAAAATTGAAATTGAAATTGAAATTGAATTACTAAACCCCAGAATAAAGCGTAATAAAAATATATCAAAAAAACAAAAGTCAGATGAACCAATCACAACTACATACAAACACACACATATGATACACCCACACACACACACACACACTGACACGACAGAACCACACGAAGAAGAATAAAAAATAGAACAAACAAATGAAACAAAAATCAAAACTAAATCAAATAAATTGAATTTTATGGAAACAAAACGAAAATGGTGATCACTTTTTTCTTTATTATTTTTGATCCTCTGACTCCGAAATCCTGTTCTTCTGCTGTGCGCTTTGAATTGTGCTTCCAAAATATGTTAGGGGTGCCCATGAAAAGTCGAATCTAGAGTCTAAGAATATATCCATGCATATGCACACACACACACACACACACACACACACACACATGCGCGAAAGTACGCACACACACACATACACAGAAAATTTTCAAACCTCGGCCCAATTTCCTGTTTTTTTTTTTTTTAATTTTTCTAACCTCTTTTTAACTTAATGAATATTTTTTATTTTTATGAACTAAATACATGTATATGTAGATTTATTATGTATGCAATTTTACTTTGAGTTTCAGCCCATAATTGGTTAAGTTTTAAGCCAAAATCTACTGATTCTTCGCACAAACGAGTTACACCCAAAAAAAGAAGGAAAGAAAATAAATAAGACTTAAAAATACCGAAAGAAATGTGCGAAAGAGAAGACTTGTTTGTTACCTTTTGTGCTACAACAAATATTAAACATATATTTTTACCTATAAACCAGAATATATTATCATGAATATATCGAAACACCTCTATGTATGTGACGCCGATTGTGACTAATTTCATTTGTATACAATTAAAAAAAAGACCAACTAAAAGTGGATTCTGCAGCAACAAAAGCGGAGGCATTTTATAAGCTAAAAGTAAACAACAACAACAAAAGGAAAGCAGTGCGAGTGGAAAACTAATCAGCAGTTGAATAAATCTAGCAGAAGAAAATAAAATATTTGTGGGTTTGTTAAAACCATTTTCACATTAAATACTGTTGCCTACTTTTGCAGCGCACTGTTTGTCCATAGGTCTAATATAAATGCCTTATATTTAAAGGAAGCCTTAATTAAATGAGGTAAATTATGAATTATATTTAAACCAAACAAAAAACGAAACAAATATTTCACTTGCACGCTGGAATATGCTGATGGGACACTCGGAACTGTTTCCATACGATATGTAGGATCCGGATCCCAAGCGAAATGCTCATGAGTTTTCGCCCCTTTAATTTGGTATATTTTTCCGTTGACTTAAGTTGCTTGATCGTAGTCTTTGTTCTTTTTTTTCTTTAGTATTTTATTTAGTTTGAGATTATGTATTTTTTTTTTTATTTTGCTGCCTAAGTATATTAATTTTGTTGCTCACAAAAAAAGGGAAATTCTATCTCTGTCTTATGCCATATGTCCTCCCTCTCTGTCTATCTACCAGTCTGTCTCGCTCGCCCTCGCTCTCTCTCTCTCTCTCTCTCTCTCTCTTACACACTCACTCTCACACTCTGCTATCTCTGTCTATTATACGTACCAAAAACCAAAAATTGAAACCAACAAAAAATATCAAAAAAAAAAAAAAAAAACAAAAAAAAAACCGATATCTATTTCTCTGGGCTGATTTTCGTCCCGCTCGACGGGCTGTTGTGTGTCTGTTCTTCTCTTTCTCGTTCTCGACCACAGGCACCAGCGCACGGAACCACCTCTCGACACCGCTCTCGACCTCCTCGTCGGCCTCGCCGCCGCCGCCCGTCTTCGGCATGCACCTGTCGGCGGCCCTTAAGAGCGAGTACCATCCGCTGCACTACATACGCGCCGCCGGCAATGGCCACAGCAATCCCGGCGGCACACCGCCCGCGCACGCATACAGCGCGGCCCAGGCAGCGGCTGCCGCGCTGGGAGGGGCCTCCACACCGACTGGCGCCGGCGGTGTTGGCGGTGCTGGCGGTCACAACTCACATCACACCATGTCCTATCACAACATGTTCACGCCGTCCCGCGATCCCGGCACCATGTGGCGCTGCCGCTCGTGCGGCAAGGAGGTAACCAATCGCTGGCATCACTTCCACTCCCACACCGCACAGCGGTCCATGTGCCCATACTGTCCGGCCACCTACAGTCGGATCGACACGTTGCGTTCGCATCTGCGGGTCAAGCATCCGGATCGTCTGCTCAAGCTGAATTCGTCCATTTAAGGGCGTGGCCGGGGCCAAGCCATCAACTATTACCCACAACGCCAGCATCACCCACAGGAACGACAACAGCAGCAGCAGCAGCAGCAGCAGCAGCAGCAACGGGATTACTACAACAGCATCTATAGATACAGATACAAACAGAGCGAAAGATACGTGTAGAGAACGCTGCTCTCTCATTTTTTACAGAGAACTTCTCTCTCTCTC